TTGAACCGATCACATCTAATTCTGCCTTTCATATATATATACATATATATATATATATATATATATATATATAAACACACCATAGTAATTGCCTGAAGAGGAAGCTACGAAGACAAGGTTTGTTCGATATACTGTTTGTCTTTTGATGTTCCCATGGAAATCTTCCGTAAGTTATTCACTGATTTTAGAATATATAAACATCATACTCAAATGTACCATTATCAAATTACAATTTTCCAAAAGAACAATGAATAATATAAATGTTAACGATACAGAAACCAACCAGCTGTTAGAATAATCTTTACATGCTTTTTCTATTCAATCAGTGTTTCCTCAGCACGAGAGAAATTTTGACTCGTCGAAGTTTAATTTAAATTATTGATGTGAACATCATTGTTCTTGTTGGCGAATCACTTAAACCACCAAGATGATTACATATATTGTATAGCTGTTTTTTTTAGGCTGGTTTGGTCCCTTCATTGAGTTGTTGTTGTTGTCGAGTTGTTGAGGGCTCATATCGGAGCACGCACCTTATGGGAGTCTCTCAATAACCTTCTATGGAACATTATCCGACTTTTACACCAGACGTATACAACCCTAATTTAGTTGATTGAATTGCTATTTTAATGTGATGGAAATGATTGTGGTAACCGACACAAAGAGCACTGGACAGCTGTTTCGTCCTGTTTGGGACTCGTCAGCAGTACGTGTTCGTTTTGCGTCCCTATCAAGACTTGAACCGCGAACCTTCGGGTTGAGACTTCAAACCTTTACCCCTTATCCAAGCGTAATATTCTAAGTAATATTCAGTTGAATTCCCCGAATTATTGATCCCGAATGAAAAAATCGATTCCGGGGAACATATTTTGCCCATGTGTTATCAGACCATTATAATTTGCAATATTCAGTGTATGTGCGTTCCTGAAAATAGATACGTCAAGGAAACATTTACTTTTATCCTGTATGGTCGCGAGTGAATTGGAGAGAAATCAGAATTCTATGTTAGATCTTTGTTAGTACTGTTTGAATTCGCGCGACCTTGAGTGTCCTGATACAATGTGCATTATTTCGAAAGTTACAGCCCAGGTTTGGAAAGTATGTTATGCAAAGCAGCATGAGAATTTATTCTTTCTATTGAATGATTCCTGTTTCATGGAAGTGCTCATTAGGTTGAACACACGTTTCTTAAATAGCCTATCTGTTTTCTTTCAGCGAACCATAAAAAGGCCAGAAAATAAGTCAGGATGTTTCTCGAATTTGATCAATACCCGTATTTTTCATCGTTTAATATTCGTATTCTTAAATAAATTATTGATTTTCGTTATTACGTATTTATAGATAGTTATTCTTATATACTACTATCAAATTGAAATATTGTAAAAGTGCATAAGCAATATCGAATCTGAATAAAGAAGCCCAAAGCAAGTTTGCACAATGTTTGCTGGAGCTTTTCGCTGCATCTGCACACATGCATACTGCATTCTATGGGATCATTAATATATGGTCAATAAATAACAGAATCATAGAGGGAGAGAGATTGCGGTCAAAATTTCTCACCAAACACATTTTTTACCAACATAAACTGCAGTATGCACGTGTACAGATGCAGCCAAATGATCTAGCAAACATTGTGTAAAACTGTGTTTTTGGCTTCTTTATTCAAATTCGTTAGAGGGACACTTCCTAATTTCAAATCGTTTAGACATCATTATTTCAGTTATGATTACCTCATGGGGAACTAACGATCTCACAACGATTGAAACCCACACCCAAGACCATCAAGAGTGCCTGGTATCTCTGAACCATCGAATGGGTTAATCCAAACTTGTTACTCTAAATTCATCTAGCCATTCGCAAAAGGTGATGACCGTCGACCTTAAAGCTCAGGAGTAAAGGTTTGAAGTCTCATCCCGAATGTTCGTGGTTCGAGTTTGGACAGGGACACAAGAAGTACTGCTGACGATTCCCAAACAGAACGAAACAACAGTCTAGTGTTCTTTGTCCGTTATCACAAACATTTTCATCGCATTTGAATGCATTACCTTGTGGGGAATTAAAGATCTCGCAACGAGTGAAACCCATACCAAAGACCATCAAGAGTGTCTGGTGCCTCTGAACAATCAAACGGGCTAATCCACGTTTGATACTCCAAATTTATTCTCCTGCTTCCTGAAAATAATTCATTACACTCGGACTCTTGACATGGAACATTTATCGCTTTCGTCATAACCTTAAAGTCAAGCAACTAAATGATAAGGAATGAAAGATAAAACGAAAAGAAAGTGTTCGACGAAGTCGGTCTGAACCATGTGGAGACTTAATCATTATCACTACCAACTGAGAAACCCGATAGTGTGTTCTGCTACATGAGAGAATAAACTATGATGCATTGGTGGTTTATCTGCCCGTATCTTCGTCCACAACGCACAAACTGTGGATATTTGACCATTTCTATATAGCTGCCGTCGTCCCCTAAAACCCAATGATCACCATCTATGTTAATGATTTGCAAACCAACTCGTTGTTGGAATAATCCACTTATGATTTTGCTATACAGTCTACGTTTCTTTAGTAGGAAAGAAAGTGTGAATCATTGGCGTTTAATTTTTTAACGAACAATAAATGAAATGAAGGTCGTTGGTCTTGTTGACGAGTCACTTTTATCGCTGAAGATCTTGAAAGTATTCGATGGCTGTTTCTCTAGTCTCCTCCGTTAGTGTGTACGCACTAATTTGCCGAGGGCTGAAAGCGAAACACGTAACTCTATGAGTCTCTCGGTAACTTTTAGCGGAATATTATTCCACTTTTACACCGGTCGTATACAACCCTCATTTGATCGATTAATTTGTTTCCCTGGGATCTTGATTCCTAAATAAAAAATTGATTCAGGTATGAATAGTTCTTATAAAATGGGCCAGGTAATATTTATCTCGGTATGGACAAAAACTGTTTTATCTTACGATCACATCTGAATACATAAAATATATGTTCCTCGAAGTCTTCAAACCCCCAGAATTGGCGAAATTTGGTATATGGATGTGAAAATAGATAAATCAAGAAAACGTTTTCTTGTCCTGTATGGTTCGCGAATGGACTGGAGAGAAATGGAACAAAACAACTGCAGCCAGATTTTACCTCGAACTGCAGGTTTCATTGGAAAACAACAGGTTAACTTCAACTTGCTCCCCAAAAAGTTGTTCTCCATCCCCTTTATTTGTCTCTCCCAAAGCCCCAGTATGGTCGAGGATGGATGACTCGGTTTATGGCTGGTCATCCTTCCTGTTCACCTCGCGAAATGCTCCTCTACTACCAAGCATCTGGAAAAGCATCTGGTGAGAAAGCCCTATCTTCTGTATTCGCATGTGGGGGGAGAAATTGAACGAAAAGTCAACATCCGGGACTAGAACCAGACCAGTGAACCACTTTCAGTTCACGTAGGTGAGTTGCTTAAAATCCCTGATCACATAATAGCAGAGAAGCGGCGTACGTACCATATCCACCCATACCTTTTGCGTTGTGGCAGTGGTCCTCGACTCAATGGCTTATCGAGATGCATGGGA